TCTCCCAGGAAGCGGCCACTCCTCCCACCCAAACATATCGTTGCCTACGTCTTAAATTGTGGCGGCACGGCACCTCGCAGCATGACCCTACGTGCCCCATTCCACCTCCTTGTGGCCGCTGACAGTTGCGGCGGTACGGCGTGATTGGGGCCTCTGCGCGCCTTGCAGATACCAGCAAACAGCATAACTGTAGCGAGGGATCCCGGACAGACGTGCAACCGAGGACCGCTTCGCGGCCGCCCTTCTGGACAACCGACCGACAGGTATCAGGGCATCTAGCCTGCTGGGGGCCAGGGCCGTGGCCCGACGCTGAATAGATGACCGCTTCGAGGCTGCAACTCGGACAACCGACGGGAAGGGTGCGCCGAACGCGGGGGGCGACGTCTGCTCCTTACGACATCATGGCTTCAGGAGTGTGCCCCGACTCCAGAATGCTAGGGGGCATCTTTGGGGCCATCTGGCCACGGCGCGGGATTTCAGGGAGAAGATGACCCCCGTCGCTTACCAGCAGCTTCCACGGCCCCTCTGGCTCAACCAGAACCTCGGAGCTGACTTGCACTAGCGAGGGCATCGCGGAGTGCGAAACGCAGAAGGGTTGCCCACGGCCTTCGCCAGCAGCGACAAGGTTTGGCCATGCGACCGCTGCGGCGAGCAGCTCGGGCACAACAGGATGATGGAGAGCCGCGGGGGGCACGCCAAGAACGAGCCAGGACGCGGACAAGACCAAGGAGGAAGAGGAAGCCAGTGGAAAAGGGTGTGCGCCAACTGCGAATTGGCCCTTCGGCTCGCGGTGGCGGAAAAGGCCCCGCCGTTCATTCACGGTCAAGTCAGTGGATGTTCTGGTGCAGAGTGGATTGGGAGGCGCTGGTGATTGCCCAGAATAGCTTCCCCAATGGCCAGCTCATGAAATAATGGGTGGGCAAGATGAAGCGCGACTTCACCGAGGTCTACATGAAGTGGCCCGAGATTGGCTGCAAGTCGCCTTTCCGCCCGTGCCGCGACGGCCCGTCGATGGTGGTGGAGCTTCTCATTCATGGCAAGTGGGAGGCATTTGCAGCCCAGAGGCTGCCGCAAGAGACCGACGACGCCATCAAAGCGCGCACCACCACCAGTTTTTCAACGCAGCCCCGCAGCTGAGCCCACATGCCCTGTAGGCGATGATCCCGCCCATCTTCCCGATGACGCACCACGTAAAAAGGCCGCGAGCTGATTGCAAGGTGCTTAGTGGACGCGTGGCAGGCAGCAGGGAGGACGTACGCCTCGCCGCGCAGCCGGTGCGAGCCAGCGATGCGGATCACGAGCAACGACCTGGAGAACCGGCAGAGCGTCATGGAAGCATCCTGGAGGAAGCTGCAGACAGCCATCGCGAAGCTCGGGAGACAAGACATCTGAGAGCCCAAGCGTCGTCAAAAACTGCGCGATGGCACGGGCCCCCTGCTCGACGGCACCGAGCTTCTCGAGGAGTGCGCCGCGCTCTGGAGGAGCGGCCAGCGCCAGCGGGCGCGCGTGCACGCGCGCCCGCCCGCGCCTGCGGCCGCACTGGGGAGGGCGTGTCGGAAAGCAGGCCCGCGGACACAACGCCATTGGGACGACGAGCGGAACACGAGCGCCCCACAGAGACCACTCGAGCGCTCCCTAAGAGGGCTCCTCCTCCACGGCCTCTTGAATCAAACCGTGACATCTAGACCCCGTCGACGTCCAGCCGACGCAGGATTGGTAAAGCAGGGACATGACCAACATCGCAGATAGGGAGGCCTTTCACACGCCGCGACCATGGTGGTGCTGCTTGCCCCCTACCTGCGCGCCGCCTGGAAGGGGGTATGTTCGAAGGTATACTTTGACGACTACAGAGAATTCGGATGCATCGTGTGCCAGCACAGGGAACGTGTCGAACACTGCACTGCATGGCTTGGCCAGCGACCAGCACGCCCGGGAAGCGGAGTGGGTCTAGAGAGGGAGGGGCTCTGCTCGAAGCGTGAGCCCCGCAGGACGTTGGCAGAACATGAATTCGCCCCCCCCCCCCCCCAATTTTTAGCCAATTTCTGGCAATTTTCTAGCTAGGTTTAAACACATGTTTAGCTAAAGTTTTGGCACGAAGCGGGGCCTCCTGCATTCCCTCCCTCCTCCTCTCCTCCTGTGTCGTTGTGGGGTGGTCGTGTCGTTTTCCCCCCCCCCCCCCCCTGCTTGGAACCCTGCTCGCCCAGCGCGTTCCCCGACGAGCGGGCACGCGAGTGGGCCAGCAGCTGCTCCCCCCGCACTGTCCCGTAGGGACTCGCACTCTCAAGGTAGCGAGCCTCTCTTACGGGGCCTCTCCATCGGGGTACGCCGCCTGCCGGCCCTATGAGAAGTCTGGGTCTGCGGCAAATTGCACTCGCAGGGGATTTTGCAAGTCGTGCCCCACGGCGCACTAGCGGGCGTTACGACATTGACCCCCTCATGCGGATGTCCTGTTTTGTCCTCCTCCTCCCCCTCCTCGTCGTCCTCCTCCTCCTCCTTCCGCCCTGAGTTTGCTTTCTCTTGGTCCTCGCCCTCCCCCCTCCTCATCGTCGTCGTTGTGCTCCTCCTCCTCCTCATTCTCCTTCCACCCTGATATATCTTTCTCCTGGTTCTCTCAATCCCACTCCTAGTCGTCGTCATCGTCGTCCTCCGCCTCCTTCCACCCTGATCTGTTTTTTTTCTCTCTCTCTCTCTCTCTCTCTCTCTCTTCCTTTCTCTCTTTATTTTGGTTCTCTCTATCCCCCTCGTCGTCGTCGTCCTCCTCCTCCTCCTCCTCCGCCTCCTTCCACCCTGATCGTTCTCTCTGGGCTCTCTCTCTTGGCTCTCTCTCTCTCTCTCTCTCTCTCTCTCTCTCTTTCTCTCTCGCTATATATATATATATATCCCACTCCTCGTCGTCGTCTTCTTCCTCCTCCTGCCACGCCGATATGTCTCTCTCTCTCTCTCTTTCTCTGTCTCTCTCTCTCTCTCTCTCTCGGTTCTCTATATCCCCATCCTCATCGTCGTCGTCGTCCTCTTCCTCTTCCTTCCACCCTGATCTTTCTTCCTCTTGAAGGCGGCCAGGGGGTCTGAACTCGTTGGGGCGCCAGAAGATCGGCTATGAGGCGGATGCGGCCACATCCGCACAAAATCGGTCCCATGACTCCACCCGGGGTCGTCCACCTGGTGCACGTGTTCACCCCAGATCCATGGTTGACGGTTCCAGGGCCCGACACAGGTCCCGCGAGGCAAAAAAGGCAATCCTAAACCTCGAACCTGCCCCTTGCTGGCCGGAACCAATGCTGGGCCACACCAGGCCCCCAGCCGGCTCCAAACGCCAGCACGCTCTTCCATATTTATGTCTTTGTTTCTCTTTCTCTCTCTTTCTCTCACTCTCTCTTCCTCCCCCTCCTCGTCCTTCCGCTCCTCGTCCTCCGCCTCCTGCTCCTCCCTCCTTCTCTCCTCCTTCCACTCTGGAGTCTCGACTGTCTCCCCTCTCCTCAACACTCTCCTGATCATCCTTCTGGGGAGCGCAGTCCACTGCCCACACCTTCCGCCTGCCATCTGTCGGCCTTCCCTCCGCCTCCTCTCTCCCTCCTTCCCCGCCCCCGTCCTCGCCCACGTCCTCCTCCTGCTCCTCTCCCTCCTCCTCCTCGTCCTCCTCCTCCTCCCTCCTCCTCATTCTCCTCCTCCTCCTCCTCCTCCTCGTCGTCCTCCTCCTCCTCGTCCTCCTCCTCCTCCTCCTCCTCCCTCCTCCTCCTCCTCCTTTTCCTTCTCACCGTCGTTCTCCTCCACCTCCATTCCTTGTCCATATAAATAACTTCTCCCTGTCGCACCCCGACGCCAAATTGTAGGGCGGTCCAGGCGTTTCGCCGGATACTTCTACATGTATGACCCTGAAGCTTAAACAACGGCAGCAGTTTCACAAATGGAGCGCAGGCCGTTTTCAGAATGTGGCTCTCGTCTGAGCGCGGCGCACATTCTTTCTAACGGGTACAAGAGCTTCACGCATTGAGGCGGGTGGTTTTCAAAATGTGGCTCTCGCCTTAGCGTGGCGCACATCCATTTTTAGAAATTGCAAGAGTTTCACGGATTGAGGGCGGGTCGTTTTCAAAATGTGACTCTAGCCTGAGCGCGGCGCACATTCGTTAAAAAGAAAGAGAGAGAAAGAGAGAGGGAGAGAGAGAGAGAAATAGAGAGAGAGAGAGAGAAAAAAAAAAACGCAAGAACTTCACGGGTTGAGGGTGCGTGGTTTTCAAACCGTGACTCTCGCCTTAGCGCAGCGCGCACTGTTTTTAAACATTTGCAACAAATTCACGGATTTCGGGCGGCTCCTCTTCAACATGTGGCTCTCGCTTAAGCGCCGCGCATATTCGTTTACAACATGTGCAAGGTGTCCAACTATTCCCATCATCAACGTGCCAGTGTTTTGAACGGGGTCAAGATTATGCGGGTGCAAGAACTATGTTGGCTCGCTGTGCTGCAGTCTCAGGAACGGCGTTCTGGAACGATTCAGGATTGTCAAGACGCAACAACCAGGTTGATCCGTGGCGTTGGAATCCCGAGAACAATGTTTTGGCATGCTTCAGGGTCTTCACACGGATGTCTTCCAAAGAAGCAGTTCCCTCAAAGGGAATGAACCGTTAAAGGGGCCTATGAAGGGAGAGCTTGGAGGGAGGGTTGATTCCAACATCGTTGATGACTCTTGGGTTTGCACTGGTCCTCCTCCTCCTCCTTCTCCTCCCCCTCCTCCTCCTTGGGAGGCAAAACTGACGGCAACGGCACCACGATGTAACGGGCGCTGCCGCATCCCTCCCCGGCGGAGCTCGGCCAACACAACGGGGGGGCGCATGACTAAAACAGCATGCTTTCCTGCTCAACCTCCCCTTCGTCGTCCTCCTCCTCCTCCGCCTCCTCCTTCTCCCCTCCTCCTCCTCCTCCTCCTCCTCCTCCTCCTCCTCCTCCTCCTCCTCCTCCTCCTCCTCCTCCTCCTCCTCCTCCCCTGGCTGGACTGGGGCGGCGGCAGAAGAAATCGAAGAGTAGGTTGCCCACGGACGTGATCGCGTGCATGTTGGGATCCGTGGCGGACGGGTGCCGCTGCAGGAAGGAGAGCACCTGGAGCGGAGCGGCGGGGGGAGCGGAGGCCGGACGGACGGAGGGCGGGCCTGCGGGGAGGAGTGGGTGACGGAGGGAAGGATCGAGGGAGGGAGGAAGGACCGACCCAGCTTCCTCCCAAGTTTTGGCGCAGAGCTGCCTGCTCAGGAGGGCGAGTCAACCCAAGGCGGCTCGACGGTCCAAAGACGCTGGGCCTCTCCTGAGCTGTGTTTTGTTAGGGAGTCGGCATCGGCGCACTCTTACACAGATAGCAAAGCAGCATGTAGGACGGAGGGGCATGGGGAGGGGAGGGAGGAGGGGGGGAGGGATAGAGGAGGGAGAGAGGAAGGGACAAGCTAGGTGCGCTCGCGCCATATCTGACATTAGATCCCTCTCTCCCGGCGAACGCGTCGTAGCCGACCTGGAACCTCTAAGAAGGCACCAGCATGTTACGTGTGCAAAGCGGTAAAGGGGAGAGCTGCGTACGTGGGCGGACGTGGTGGCAGGCGAACAAGGGGGAGATAAGCAAGAGTAACATGATGAGGATACGGAAGCACGACTACGAGGACGAACAACAGCAGCAGGAACTGACGTGGCAGGGAGTGGGATGAGCAGAAGGCACAGGGAAAAGCGGAGAGGGGGAAGCAAGTGGGCGACGACGACGACAGAGAACTCGCATCCAACCGAGTGGCCAATTCTGGGGCGATGGCGCCACTCTGAGAGACTGGAGCTCAACGCCGATGTGGAGATGAGGCCCACGCTGCAGACGAAATGCCATCTTGGAGCTCTGAAAACAGTCGGGCTGTAGAAGCACGCCAGGGAAACCAACTCAACCAGATGAAGCATGAGCGGAGAGGGCCGAGCATCTCCGCGCAGGGTCAGGGGGGAGAGGAGAGCAGTCTCCATTCTGTATAGTTGTAGAAGGGAGAGAGGGGAGACAGAGAGAGAGAGAGGGAGGGAAAATTGAAGCACGCAAGGAAGGCGAAAGGGAGGAGCGGAGGACGGAAGAGGGAAGGCGATGAGAAGGGCGAGATCTCCGGCGGCCCCCGGAGGTCCCCAGGAAACCTCGGGCAGAGGCAGCCAAAAAACGTCAAGCGCGTAAAGAAACATGAATCCCCCTCTCCTCCTCCCCTCCCCCCCCCCGGGAAGGAGGACGGACCGTGACGCGGGGACGTCCTGTACCCGTGGCGAGGCTGTCGTGGGCCCAGCGGGGCCGTTGCTCGTCCAGGACGGGGCGTGAAGCGGCCTGCACGCTGGAGTCCCAACCTCAAGTCCTATACGAGAGTCCCTTCCTACCGAGGGACGGATGAAGAGGGGAGGAGGTCAAGGAACAGGAAGAAGAGGAGGACGAGGAGAACGACGAGGAGGAGGAGGAGGATAAAATAGGAGGAGGAGGAGGAAGAAGACCAGTGCAAACCCAAGACTCGTCAATGATATTGGATTGCACCCTCCCTCTCAACTCCCTCTTTAAAGGTCCCTACACGGGTCCAACTTCCACTGAGCGAAATGACCCGTTTGGGGACAACCGTGTGAAAATCGTGAAGCGCGCCGCAAAACTATTCTCAAGACTTCAACGCCACGAGTCAACCAGACTGCTGTGCCGTGACGGTCCAGAATCGTGCCAGAACACCTTTCCCGGGATAAACACCGCGAATCAACGTACCTGTTGCGCCCTGGCAATTCTGAATCGTTCCGCAACACCATGTCCGGTTCGTTCACCATGAGAACGAGTGAAACTCTTGCAAACTGTTGAAAAGAATGCGCGCGGCGTTAAGGCGAGAACCACATGTTGAAAATAACCCGCCCTCAATCCGTGAAGCTCTCACGAATGTTTGAAACGATTGTGCGCGACGCTACAGCGAGAGCCACAGGTTGAAGAGGAACCGCCCTCAATTTATGCAGCTCTCGCAAATCTTTGAAACGGATGTGCGCGGCTCTGAAGCAAGCGCCATATGTCGAAAACGGCCCGCCCTCAATCCATTCAACAATTGCAAGTGTTTACAGCCAAATGCGAACGGCGCCAAGACGAGAACTAAAACTTGAAAACCATCCACCCTCAATCCGTAAAACTCTTCCAATGATTTGAGACGAATGTCAGCGGCTCTCAGGCGAGAGCCACATTTCGGAAGCGACCCGCCCTCAATATGTGAAACTGCTGTCTGGCTTTACGCTTCATGCTAATGAGCTAATGAATGGTAAAGTAGTCTCAGGCGAAACTCCTGGCCCACCCTTCCGACTGGCCTCGGGGTGCGACAGGGAGGAGATATTCATAAGGACAAGAAATGGTGGAGGAGGAGCCCCCCTTCCCTCCTCCTCCTCCTCCTCCTCCTCCTTCTCCCCCATCCTACTCCTCCTTTGCCATTCCGTTTGCTGATGAATAATTACACCAGAGAACAACCCCAATCAGTGGATGGTCTTAAGATTAGTGTCATGGGTATCGAGATTGGTTGTAATATCGACGGTGAGATCGATAGTGGGATCGAAAACGTTGGCGATAAGAAAGTCGATAATGAGACCGATTGTGAAGTGAGTTCCGTGAAAACGAACGTGAGATCGATCGTGAGGTCGCTCGTGCGATCTGTAATGACAGCGGCTGTAAGATCGATAATGAAATCGATTGTGAAACCGATTGTGAGATCGATGGGGAGGTAGGTAACTCGATCGGTCGTGAGACCGATCGATAACACGATCGACTAGGAACCTGGGAACATGAAACCCGGGAACCCCGCCGCCCACCGACATCGGCCCAGAACCAACAACCTGGAACCCCGGAACCCAGAAACGGGAACCCGACGGCCTACCGAAATCGGCCCAGAACTTTCGCCAAATCTTTCAATATCCGCCAGGACCCCTTCAGTGCAAGCACTGATTGGGGAACTTCTCCCTGTCGCACCCCGAGGCCAGTTTTTAGGGCGGGCTGGGCGTTTCGCCTGAGACTTCTTCTCAATTCTAGACGCTTCGCGTATCCCCACCAGCCCGTCCAGAAATGAGCCCCAGGGGAGTGGAGGTGATGAGGGAAGCGGGGGAGCATGCAGAAGAACAAAGAGCGGGTTGAGCCGCCATACGCCCCAAGAGGGGGAGGATGTAGGAGGAGTCGTCGTCGTCGGAGTAGGAGGAGGAAGACGAGGAGCAGGAGGAGGAGCAGGAGGAGGAGGGGGAGGAGGAGGAGGAGGAGGAGGAGGAGGAAGATGAGGAGGAGGAGATGGAGGAGGGCGAGGACGAGGAGGACGAGAAGGAGGAGGAGGAGGAGGAGAAGGAGGAGGCGGAGGAGGGGGAGGGGGAGGAGGGAGGAGGGAGAAAAAGAGGAGGAGGAGGAGGACAATGGCGAGCTTGGGGGCCTCTTGGGCCGTCTTTGGGGCCTCTTGGCGGTCCCGGGGGCCTCTTGCGTATCTCGGGGAGCCTCTTGCGGCCTCTTGGGGGTCTCTTGGGGGCCTCTTGGAGGCCTCTTGGGAGCCTTTTGGGGCCTCTTGGGGCCCTCTTGGGACGCTCTTGGGGAGCTCTTGGGAGCCTTCGAGGCGCTCTTGGGGCCATCTTGGAGGAGATCTATCAAAGAAGGGGGGGTCCCCAATTAGCGCTGCCCCTCTAGAGTGCCTCGAGTCGCCTCTTGGGCTCCCCAGAGGCCAAAATCCTTACAAAACCTATGGAAAATCAATGTTTTTTGCTTTCTCGCATTTTCGCTCTTGGAGCCTTCTTGGGCCATCTTGGGAGCCTCTTGGGGCCTCTTGGGGGTCTCTTGGGAGCCTTTTGGAGGCCTCTTGGGCGCCTCTTGGCGTCTCTTGGAGCCTCTTGGGGTTCTCTTGGGGCGCTCTTGGGGCGCTCTTGGGTGCCTTCGGGGTGCTCATGGCGCCATCTTGGAGGAGATCTATCAAAGAAGGGTGGAGCTTTAATTAGCCCCGCCCCTCTAGAGTGCCTCGAGTCGCCTCTTGGGCCCCCCCCCAAGAAGCCAAAACCCGTCCAAAACCTACAGAAAATCATTGTTTTTTGCTTTCTCGCCTTTTCGCTCTTGGAGCCGTCTTGGGCCATATTGGATTCTCTTGGGGCCTCTTGGGAGTCTCTTGGGAGCCTCTTGGAGGCATCTTGGGCGCCTCTTGGGGCCCTCTTGGGGCGCTCTTGGGGCGCTCTTGGGGCGCTCTTGGGAGCCTTCGGGGCGCTCTTGGGGCCATGTTGGGAATATATATCAAAGAAGGGGGGAGCCTCAATTAGCCTCGCCCCTCTAGAGTGCCTCGGATCGCCTCTTGGGCCCCCCCAAGAGGCCAAAATCCTTCCAAAACCTAAGGAAAATCAATGTTTTGTGCTTTCTCGCCTTTTCGCTCTTGGAGCAGTCTTGGGCCATCTTGGGCGTCCCAACGCGTCGCGGAACGCCCCGTCCAGGTCAGTGGGGAGGGGTAAGGGGAGGGGTAAACCCCTCCCCGAAGGGAAAGAAGGGGGGTTGGCAGAGGAAACGCTCTAGACCACCTACGCCCTAAAGGGCTGGTGGGATTCATGACCCTGAAGCTTAAACAGCGGCAAAAGTTTCACAAATCGCGGGCAGGCCGCTTTCAAAATGTGGCTCTCGCCTCAGCACCGCGGACATGGATTTTAGACATTTGCAAGAATGTCACGGAGGGAGGGCGGGTGGTTTTCAATATGTGGCTCTCGCCTCAGCGCCGAGCACCTTCTTTCTAGACATTTGAACAAAAATCTCACTGATGGAGGGAGCTTGCAGAGAAGGTTAATTCTGACCTCGTTGATGACTCTTTCGCTTGCACTGGTCCTCCTCCTCCTCCTCCTCCTCCTCCTCCTCCTCCTCCTCCTCTAGGCGACGAGCCCAGGGGGGAAATGAGAAGGAGAAGGCCTTCTCAGAAGGCCGCGGGACTTCTTAGAAGTCCGGGGGGCTTCTGAGACGTTTCCTTGGCCTATTTCGAATACAGACAGAACTTCTCAGAAGCCCTCTCAGAAGTCCAGAAACTTCTCAGAAGCCTCGGAAGTCCCGCCCCTTCTCATTTCCCCCCCGCGCCCGCCGCCGATCCTCCTCCTCCTCC